TTAACTCAGTAAGCCAAGCATGTTTATCACAGACACAATTTGTCAACGTAACTCAGTAAGCCAAGCTATTAATGGTCACGAAAGGTACAGTAAAATACAGGGCGGTCCAAAATTATCTTTCCTATTTTAAAATTTAATAATTAGATAACTAGAGAAATACAACCATTTACAAATGGTTGTATTTCTCTAGTTTCAACACCTTGTAGCCCAGCTCAAACAGTTTTTACTATCATGTCACTAGACTTCTATGTGTGCATCTTAGTGGCTCTCAGCAGGTTGTATTTCCTTAGTTATTTAATTATTAAATCTTAAAAATAGGAAAGATAATTTTGGATCACCCTGAACTTCAAACCTTGTGAACTAAAATTAGCACTCCCAGCTTCCGGTTCCTTGTCCATTATTTTAACTAGATAAAAGTCAAAAAGTTTTATTTAATTAAGAGTTGTTGTTTTTTTTTCATGCTATGAGTTTGAAATAGTATCTATGATTAGTTCATTCGGGCCTTTATTTTTTCATTCACCTTGACTAATCTAACTGATTATCGTTATTAATGTAACCATTTTGCAATCAAATGTGCCCATTACATGTTCTATTGAATCAGTTATTTGATATCAATCATTGGTTCATTTATCTACTTCAAACTGTCCAATGTGTATACTTTTTAACTCAACGTTTCTACATTGTATAGCTGCTCAATCAATAACCTTATAGTCCAATATTGTGTGCTGCTACAAAGTAAATTATTTGTTACTTTGTTTTATCTCTTTAGATAAATCAATGTTCTACTAAACGGTATCTGAGTAAGGAGGAGCAATCAGTCTCACATACAGTTGATAATTACGATTTTGAAATACATTTAACAGTAAAAGGTATCCCAAGACTTGGCGGTGGGTGGTGACGACTGTAGTTTTTCACTGCTAAATTAGGGACGGCCTCGTCTAGCTTTGCGCGAAATTGAAAAACAAAACAAACAATTTAACAGTAAAGAGAAGTTACACTCAGTACGTAAAAAAGGAGTAATAAAAAATAGAAAATAAATTGTTATTTCAACATGTGAAATTCTCCTATGTGCATCAGTGAATGAACCAGCAGATAAGAACATGTGCCATTAAATTTGTGTTTCGTCCAAGACCGAAATATCTTTAGATCAATATAGCTGATATATCGTGTAGCGGAGAAACAAAAATTCTGAAACCAAAAATCAGCCTAACGACTGTAAATATTGTTTTTATAGTTCAGTAAGAAATTACACCGAGGTCATGTAACTGAAAATAACATCATGACAGAAAACAATAGCATTTTTCTATCTTAACTTCCTACGATTGTTTTTATGGTTCAGTAAGAAATTACACTGAGGTCATGTAACTGAATAGAACATCATGACAGAAACAATAAGATTTTTCTGTCTTACTCTACTACGATTGTTTTTATGGTTCAGTTCTAAAACACGCTAAGGTCATGTAACTCACAAGAATATTAATGATATCAAGATTGAAAGTAAGCCGGTTATTTCTTTTCTTATAGTGAACTCCAGTTTTATAGTCATCTCATATGAAACTGTTTCAGGTTATTACATAAAAAGAGGGCTACACCAAATACTATATAAAAAATTACCTACAGCAAACTTTACGATCATAGTCGTCTCATATGAAACTGTTTCAGGTTATTACATAAAAAAGAGGGCTACACCAAATAGTATATGAAAAATTACCTACAGCAAACTTTACGATCATAGTCGTCTCATATGAAACTGTTTCAGGTTATTACATAAAAAAGAGGGCTACACCAAATAGTATATGAAAAATTACCTACAGCAAACTTTACGATCATAGTCGTCTCAATTAATTCTTTTTGAATTCTTCTTATCAATTCAGTTTCATTAGTATAAGTAACTAATACCATTTTACCTGCACATTGTTACATACATAAAGTCAGGTAAATTGCTTCTTTTTCTCACGCAAAGTG